GTAGGCCAAAAATTTCCGAATGACGAAAGAAATTTCCGAATATTTCATGGCATAGGAAGCCACGAAGGTGTTTGCTATCCGGAAAATGAAAACGCAATTTACAAACAAAAATACTCAAATTTTACGCACAGACATATTACAGAAGCGTGCAGTAGTCTGAAAAAAATTCATTTTTATAAGGGGGTGGCGAGGGCCGAAGCCCGAGGAAATTTTTAAATTTAGGATCTCTGAAATGCCATTTCGTGGACTTTGGCGGAGGTTTTGACAGAATTCTGATGGTCAGAATACAGAGTTTTAGCCCGTCGAAATTTACAATTAATTTGCTTACAATTTAGAAGAACTAAATGGGGGAAGGCGTATATGGGTAATATGATTCTTTGCGGTTTGTCATGGGTATATGGTCAAGATATATTGAGGGCTGCCCCCTACCCTCCCCCCGTTGCTACGGTCCTGGGAAGTAATAAATTGAAAAACATTTACCAATCTACGATTTGTTAAATGTTATCCATGTAAATGCAGTGATTTTGTAATTCAGTTTATGATACTGACAATACAATTTTATAATATTTTCTCTGTTTAATTAAACAACTAAAATTTTGTTATACTGTTACTGCCGTAATATTCCGAATGACCAACCTGATTTTCCGAATATGTTAATTCTAAAAAAGTTGGGGGGTTAACCACACCCCCAATACTCCCAATACCCCCCTTCGCTACGACCCTGGTTATCGCGTTCCAGGTAAATAGACTGAGTTCACTAGATTGCAGCCCTCCACGCCACACAGTATGTCAGTCTCAGTCCCTTTATATGCCATCACCGCGTGGTCCATTGCCGCGCCATATAGTATATCAATTTCAGTCCCGCTATACGGCGTCACCGCATCGTCTATCACAAATCAGTGTGTGTCAGCACGCTGGCGTTAGCATGCATGAAATGGCGTTGCTTCATGTTTGTCCTGCATGTTATCGTTCCAGATAAAAGACATAGAGTTCACTGCAAGATTGATTGCAATGTTGCAAAACTCATGGAAACAGAACATCCGGTTTGACTGTAATACTCAATGTCACTTCCACTAACTTTTAGTAAACAGCCGTGAAGATGAAGTTTTTTCCTAAGAAAATAAATTGCGTTTTAAAATGCACTGAATATCACAAATATGTAAAATTCCTAATTGTTACATGTGTAATTTAAATTGACTAAAATTGCATGTACTAAAACTTTACTTTGCCAACTTTGAGTTTTCATAAGTGAAAGAGTTACGAAAGTTTATTGCTTTGATTTTTATATATTATGTATTCATTAATGTTTTGGTCCCCCCTCAAAATTTAATTTTCCTGAGGTGACCCCCCTTTCACATCACTATTTTTTCTGGTGGCCCCTCTGCAAAAACCACCAGCCCCCCCCCCCTCCTGATAAAAATGAACGGTCCCTAAAGTGCATTTGATTAGATTTCCGTTCAATTTATCACTTTTTATGAGCTTTGTCTTACAAACTAATTTTTTAAAAGGTTTGCGGAGGAGGAGCAGCCAGAGGAATCCAACATGATGTCACAGAGTGCATATACAGATCGAAATCTGACTCCTCGTCCGAGCCTTTGATGTTGGCACAATTTCGGCCTTGTTCCTAGCCAGTGAATTAAGGCGAGATAGTCATCCTCCAGAAAATATTATAAATGACAGGCGCCCAGGGGGCTGGGAACGCCTGTCATTAGCACACCAACCTCGTACCCAGGGCTTCTGCGCTTATTGCTCTCAGAAGCCCTGGGATAATCCAACTCAGAACGTGATTTGATTGGTCAATGCGAATTTTGGCAACATGGCTGCTATCACAAGGAGTGTATACAAAAGTTAAATGCTGGTTTTTGCATGAAAATACTTCCTTAAATCAAATTCTGGGCTATTTTGAAAAGAGCAAAAGAAGAAATGGACTATTTGTATTTGTAAATAAGCAAGAATGGCGAACAGAGTAAAAAAAGCGAAAATTGAAATTTCAATTATAAATCTACAACTTCAACCACGATATTCAATGTAAATATTACATAATAAAGTTTTTAATACCTTTTTTACCTTTATTTGATAAATTGTGTGTTCTACATTATTGCATTTTGTATTGGAATAGGATAAATTATGAATTATACACAAATATTTAAATTTACAAATTATTCCCAATTTGAGGATGCTGGGTGCACTGGCTCAGAGTTTGTATTAGTGCCTATTTATTATTGATTATTAGTGCCTCTAAATCTCTAATGTACAAACATTGTAATCTGTCACTTAATACCATAAAGAAACTGTTGATAGCACATATATTAAATGACTATTAATCAAAATGAACTAAATTTCGACCATTATATACTTAGCATATTTCCCCCAATATTGAGGGAATAATTTCTCCTATTTATTTTTATAATAAGCCAATATTGCCCAACTGTGAAGTCAATATTGCCCGACTGGCCTAGTCTGCCCAACAATTGAGCCCCGCCCTGTACGCCTATGACCAGGCCTACAGGTGGACCCCCAACCTGATTGGTCACAATTTTTATTTCTCCAAAATTTCCCCTCCCCATGTACAAGGATTGACAGTTTGATTAGATTGGGAAAAAAACACAGTTATATTGGGTCATTCCAGAAAACACCCATACCACTCCCACAGAGGAAATTGAAAGTTAATCCCTCATACCCCTTTGGATGTCCTAATACATTTATTATTATCAGAAACAATTTTTTCCCCCTCCCCCTCTGAACGGCAGAAATTTCCTCTGTGGGGGGAGTGTGGATATTTTCTGGAACGACCTATTTGAGAAATGCTTTTGCACAAATTTTAAATTTTCTTACAATTTTCTTGTATGTCAGAACACTGTTCTAAGTTGCAACTAAAATTCAGAGGTCTAAAAGGCTCAAGTCAATCCCAGTGATGTAACCAGAGGGGTTGGGGGTGGGGTCAAAATATTTTAAATGTTCTGAACTTGTTTGTAATTAATTAGGGTTGAACATGTGTTAACTGCAAGGTTATTTCAAATCACCAAAACACATTAAAATAGCCCCCCAAAATGGCACTTTATTAACTAGAATTTAAAAAGTCTACATTGTACTATATTATACATGGATAGCTTGGGAGTCCAAATATATTTTTACATACTAACAAACTTTATTCAAACTAGTGCAGGCCCCTCCTGGGGATTTCAGTCCCCCTTGAAGGCCTTAATTAGAAATTCTGGCTACATCACTGCTCAATTCCTTTGCAATGATGGTGTTAGAGTAGGTTAACAAACTAGTGTGTATTATGAGATAATCCATTGAACACCAATGACCTATCCCAACATATAAAATCATCTGGTGCAGTGGTGGATCCAGCAAAGTTTTTTTGGGGGGTGCTAACCAATGGCGAAACGAGCGCCGAAGGCGCGAGGTTTCTAGGGTGGTCCGGGCCGGGCATAGTACCACAGAAAATTTTTAAAATTTGGGTCTCTGAAATGGCATTTCCAGCATTCTGAGAAAACATTTTGGAAAATTTTTAGATTCTCAAAACATTTAAAAAATTCAGAATATTTAATATTGGCTATTCCACTATTGTCAACTAGTGATACCCAACTGAATTCCTTAACATAAGTTGGTTAGAATTGGGATAAACATCATTTTTGCACCCCCCCCCCCACATGCACCCCTGTTGACCAGAGCCTGGGGGGGGGTGCACACCAGAGTAAAATAAAAAGTAAGACACAATGTGTAACTTAACAGGTAAGGTTAATGGCCAGAACTAAATGATAAACAATATTTTATAATAAACCCAAAATAGTTCAGCACCATTGGTTCTTATAACACTGTTCATTCCAATACTAGAACATCAGCAATTAACAAAAGTTGGAGTTTCATCCGATGACATGTATGCTTCTAACCATGCTGTCCATGCAGCTATCTGACAGTTTTAAATTTTCAACATTGATTCCCAAAGCCATTATTCTCAAGATTTGCCAAAAAGGTTTTCCAAATATT